CCATCAAAAACCATGCTAAAGCGGTTCCACGTTTGGCAGGCTCAGTGATGTCAGCAACGGTACCAGCTCCGACGGAGAAGACGATACATGATCCGAATGCCTGGAAGACACGGAGAATGTACAGCTCAGCGATATGTGGTGGCAGCACAGCAAGTAGGGTGTTCGCGACGAGGAAACTGCCGAGTCCGACCATGTACACTGTTTTCCTCCCGCCTAGATCCGAGGCAGCAGCACCGAAGAGAGGCTACGCAATCTTAGTTTGCATTTCGAGCTACCGGTACGGATGACTTACGGCAATGGCGAACACCATCATATACATTGAGACTGTACCGTTCACCGCAGTCTCTGATGCACTGAAGATCTTCTCGAATATTTTCAGGGAAGGCAAGTAAACCGCTCCGCATAGTGGTCCAAAAAAGCCCGCCGCTGTAACGACACCCAATATGAATCTTCTGCGACTCACCGAGAAAGCCGAGTATGGTTCTGGCAACGATGGAAGAGCAGTAGGTCCATTCGTTGATGGTTGCTCGGTCTCATTCCGGGGTTGCGCTAAAGGGTAGTCATCGCTGTCGATGCTCTCACGGTACCGGCCATTATGGCGATCCTTCACGAAGTCGATTGGGGAACGCATGGCGAAAGAAGGAGAGAAGTATGCAATACGATGCGGATAAATGCTCGACGAGGAGCGTTCTTGGAACCCAAGAATACAGACAAGACGGATATGTACGGCGACGTCAAACCTAGATTGCCTTATCTTCGGAGCGTTCTATGTGCCGATGACGAGCAGCGCTGAACTGCAAGATATGAGACCTTATCCCAGGCGCCATTGTGTTGCGTCTGACAGGTCGCAGCATAGCCCTGCTTTCTGCACTGCCTGTAGGAAGGCGCCCTGGCTTAAGGGCAGTATTTTCGTCTCCGCTACGGTCAGGTTCCCACCAGAGGGTACTGAGCCGCATCCTACGCCACATCCGCATAGTCATGCACCCCGCTGTTCTAGCCTCAGGGCTTGCCAGTCGCGGAATGAACTAGGTGCGCGTCATTGTTGGTGTTGGAAAACGTCCGACACAATGACCCGACAGATCAACCCGACACCGCGACTCGTGGCAATGACCCGACATAAAATCCAGCGATACACACGTTATTACTTATACCTGTGATCACGTATGCAACGGCTAAAGCTTGCTAGAAGTTTTATGTGAAGTCATCTTCATTACGTCTGCATCCAGTTCATGCGTTCCGTCTTGTGCGAAGATGTGGCGGCTACCCTATTCTACGCATGAAGGCGTTTGTTATTGCCGGCGATGGCAAAGGGTGGGATGAAACAGTCACAGCCTCCACCAACGATTTGAATCTTCTCGGGCGCCAGGGCACGTATACAGGTCAGTAGGCTCAGAACAACAGGTTGCGAAAGCTGTTGCCATTTGTCTCCCCGCTTCGCTCGATTTGGTCGCAACTTCAGGGCGCATATGTTCATACATCGACAGGTCCGGCTCTTACTTCCTATTCATGCATATCCTCAGCAAATTCATGTGGTCTATGAGGCACAGTGAGGGCGAGCGAATCCGCTTGGACGACGACCGTAGCAGCGAATCCGGACACGATATGGATGCCACGAGTGTGGGCTGACGGCTGCTCAAGGTTACTACGGATCTGGACCACATTGGGAGTCACTGCTGGCTTTGATATGACATTGCATCGGGTTGAGCATATATGTCGTGCGGAAAACGCAACAAACATGCGATACGTCTGAGACCACCTGGGTGGTATCAACAAATAGCAGCAAGAGTATACCTGTAAACATCATCGGCTGATATACTGTTGTACCAACACCGTCAGCGCATGTTTACCCAGCCAACACTTCAACGCCGCGCGATGCACACAAGCCCATTGGCCCAAATTCATGGTCGCCCTCCAACCGATGTCCCAAAGACAAGCATCTCGCAATGTTGGGAAGCTCAAAATATTGTTACAACGACACGTATACCCACGCTCTGTTCAACGATCGATCTGTCGTTGCATCCAACATGCAGCATCGCATGTTCATCCAGCCTACCTAGACCCTGATCTCATTCGCCTTTCGAGTCCCGCAACCAAAACCCCGGGACACAACTGCACGCCTTCCCACCGCGCTTGCAATAACAATTCATCTATCGCACGTTGGCTAAAGAGCGCTCTGCCTGTAAGCTGCACTCCCAACACATGCAACATAAGCGGCCCGTTCCCCTCGCATCACCAACAAACAACCACGACCTGCATGCCATCCAACACTATTCCGCGCCTCAACACCTGCCGCGCAGTATCGTCTTGTCATGATTGCGCAGGATGCGGATGAAGGCGCGAAATCTGCTCAAAACCTTGGAAACCTTCTCACCTCGCTTACCTGTCTATACCTATCCCGGCATAGCGCTCTGCGGGCCGCCCTCTCCTGAAGTCTCGTCGATTATCACAACATGGGCCAGCAGGTCTATCCAATGTTACCGATCTGCCTGGTGGCATGGTAGGCTGAGATAACAATCGGCTGTCTTTGACCAATACTCGCATGCCGTGGCGCCGTCTGCAGAACTTCGGGTACCGCGTGGGAACGGGTGCGAAAAGGGTGCCGGGCCTGGTATTCCCTGGGTGGGAGCTTGCACTACAAGAAGAACGATATAAACGTCGTGATTCCACGTTCACTCTCCCGAAAATATCTTTAGTGGCAGACTTCACTCCAGTTTCAAACTTCTTTGTTCGTCAAAGTCTCCGCGTTTGAAGTGTGAATCATTTGGGTGGCTGCCGCTTTCCATTCAAGGTCACGCAGGGGAAAATCTGCTCATAACTTGCTCAACCCTACTTCTCACACCACTCATATTCATTCACTTGCGCTGTTTCGTTTCCAACAAATTTCTGGTAGGCCGTGCTTTGATTGCAGTCGCTGCGATATAACTCTGGACTTGTTTCTCACTACGTTTCTATGCAGGTACAAGCAATCATGTCTATGGATATGGAAATGTCGATGGCTCCGACGAGCACCGGTATGGCTATGTCGGGCATGTCTATGGCATCGACTGCTACCGGTATGGCGCCAATGGCTACTTCGTCAGGCGGAATGGGTGGCATGGATGACATGGCCGATATGATGGGTGGATGCAAGATTAGCGTAAGTTCTATCTCGTGTGCTCTCGAAGTGAGGAGACGAGAGCCTTTAGCTGACAACCCATCTCACAGATGCTGTGGAACTGGAATGTAATCGACACATGTTTCATCGCAGAGTCCTGGCACGTACGCACGAAAGCCATGTTCGCCGGCTCCTGCATCGGAGTCATCCTCCTCGTCATCCTCCTCGAGTTTCTGCGGCGCGCAGCTAAAGAATACGATCGCTATATCGTCCAGCAGCACTCCAAGACACTCGCATCCTCGGGGGTCGGCTCGTTTTCCTCCTCCTCATCGAACGCCAACGACAGCACGACTAAGCATCCTGCTGCTACAACATCGCCAGCTGCTTGCGGCGCCATAGCTGCGACGACGACCAAGTTCCGACCGAGCATTCTACAACAGGCGGTACGGGCGGCATTGCACATGGGCGCATTTGCTGTGGCTTATTTCGTTATGCTGCTGGCGATGTATTACAACGGGTACTTTATCATCTGCATCTTCATCGGTGCGTATCTGGGATACTTCATCTTTGGGTGGGAGAGCTTCAATGTGAGCAGCGGGGGCGATGATCGTATGCAGGAAAATGCCACGGTTTGCTGTGGATAGGAAGGAACGTCAATGTTTGACTGGATTAATTACATGACACGGAAATACTCGCGACATGAGCGACAATGACAAGATGTTCACCAAGAGTAGTATCATATGGTACACGTGTATTGTAGTGAAGTGCTAGATTGTCATATGTGGTATCTCTTGAGCCGCCGAACTCCCCTCATCCCCTAATCATCGCACGTCTCTCAAAGTCCACCCGTGACGCATATCTTCGTTGGCTCCATATAGTACACAAGTTGTAAGATTATCTGCAGAGTATCAGCATGACGGTCGTAAGTGAAAATGATGCGATGGCACCCACTGTATCGTGTCCATCGCACGCCATCAATCTGAAGATTGAATGACTTATTTGCCCTGAAGAAAGGTCAGCATTGTGTTCACGACAAGGACATGGTATGACGTACGGGGCAGCCATCGCAAGTGCAGGTGGAGCCGCAGTTGCAGCTACCAGAAGCACAGCCGCAGTTACCCTTCATTTCGATGGTTGAAGATGGGTTGTTGGTTTGTGGGAAAATGGTTGGTATAGTTGAAGAGTGAATTGGCTTGTAAGATGACTTGATAGTTGTGATGTAGGAGTAAGCAGCATAGGGCCAGCAACCAACTTCTTATATACCCTCAGCATGCGCGACTTGTGCGGTAAAGCGGCCAAACGCAGGGCTCTTGATGCCACCTCTTCCCTGCGGCAACGCCGTCAGCGGCGGCTCCCGTTCATGTGCTTCACGAGCTTTGCCCCGCATCCCACTGCGTTTGTGGCATTGTTGACTGTAAGCTTTGGTCTCAGTGGTCGATTAGCTCCGTTGGTAAGTTTAGCCGCGTGCAACGCGTCTTGTGCTATTGGCTCCCACTTATTTTGCGTACATTGTGCGGTTGGTCGCCGGGTCGCGCGGGGGCGTGAGAGACTTGTGCGGTTGGTCTAGCCTGGCTTCGAGAAGGTGCCAGGGCTTGCCTCGGGAGAAAAGTGGAGTTGCGTCGTTTGTGCGGATGGGTTGCCAAGGGATCCGGACCGTGGGTACAGGTCGTATTCGGGCCTTATGCCCTTTTACGTCCCGCGATAAGAGACATCAGCGTCTTGATCCATTTGGCGATGCGACCTGTGGGTTCGTTTAGTTGGGCTGTTATGTCATGTCTAGCCAGATCGTTTGAATGGATAGAGTGTGTTTGTGTGAAGAAGAGCGTCTGAGAGGGCAAATTTTGGCTACTACGAACGCAGGTGCACGAAACTTTTGGGCCGGATCTTGACGTTGGTTCTGTATTGGTCAACCAATAAATTTGCCACCGCAGTAGATGCAGGCATCGCAGGCAAGGAACAGTACCCGTGCCAGCGTGATGGGCAACTCCCTTCGTTCGTACTCATGATCTTCACCGTCAGAATCGTTGCTTTCTTGCTCCACAGTCATGGCTTGCTCGTCTCCTCCTTGGTCGCTAGAACCCTCTTCATCCACCTTGTTCAATGAACCACTGCTCTCCTGTTCTCCCTCTGATACCGATCCGTCTCTTATCACGCCTGTCATGACCGTGTTGTCTCCTGTGGCGGCGCCTTTATTGCGTTCCGCATCTTCTTGGGCCATGATAAACTCGTCGCTTAGAAATGGAGTGCTGCATATACCACAGTACTTCGTGATGCCGGGCGCTTGGATAGCCAGAAAAGTGAGGCCACATCTGGGGAAAAAATGTCCGTTGGTGCAAGTTGCTGATCGGGGGTCTGCGAACGGTATGAATGCGGAGCAGAAATCGCAAGTATCTGCTACTGGGACTGCTGAACCTTGATTTGCCGAAATGCTGTTGCCATGCGTACCGGTGCCGACTGTTGATGTGCTTTCCTGCTCCGAACTTCTGTCTGCGGGCAACGATTTGGATGTATCGTCATAGCCCATGACCATGTTGATGAGTGTGACGAGTTGTTTGTGATGCGTGCGAATTTCTGCGCTGAAAGGCGTATGCGATAGCGACGAAGGAAGTTGTTGCAAGGCCACAGCGAGACGGTACGCAATCAGAGTCGCCGGTAGCTCCTTATTGATCTGCGTCTTGTAGGCTTCAGACACGAGGATGGTGTAGCGATCCTTCAGTGTAGGTGATTCAAGGAAAGCATTCGACTTGAATCCCTTGATCAACGAATCGAGATCGTTGGTATCAGGGTACGCTACTGATGTGGTCGCTCTCATCTCACCAAGAGGAAGAGCTGTGTAAGTCTCGACTAGCTTTCCAACCATCTCATCCGCGAATGCAGGTATGTCGTCAGGGTCCTCGACAACTTCTTCTGCCAACTTCTTGAGACTGTACATTATTCCTTCTGCGGTTACGTTCTCTTTCGGAAAGATGTCCCGTGAACGGCTGCCAGGTCGCAAAGAGCTGATAGCCACGGCGCCACTACGGTCAGCCGGAATACCGTATTCGATCATATCCGAAGGATGTACGCTGTTGCATGCTGCAATGAAGTCGCCCAGCGGAGATCTCGCGAGACCCCATACCTTGGCCCTGCTATTGCCTTTGAGTCCATTCTTTACACTAAACAGTGCCAGGTTATTTCCGATTCTCTCCCGCCATTCTGGGGTATCAAGTCCTTTGAGCCCATCAGGAGTCTGCTCAAGGATAGCAGTCGGACTGTGGAGGGTCGATAACAGAGAGCTTATATGGAGACGAGGAGTTGTGGCGCCAGTCGTATCCCAAACAAGGCCTGAGACTGGATCCCATCGGCCGTCCAGATCATGCGTACTCCTTTCGATGATGGAAGCGTCAAGAGCGGATATCGTTAGATATACTAGTCCCGTATTTGTGAAGAGGGCGAGCTTGAGTCTGTCTTCGTCTTCGACTCTGTGGAACCATTTCATCGGACCATCGTACCTCATTTCGTAGCCTGCGTAGACAAGTTCCTGCTCCAGGTTCATTTGGCCGTGGTCATACGTGATGGTCCGCGCCCGTACGTCTTCATTCGTAGCGTATACCAGTACGGAACGATAAGATCCGTTACAGATGATCCAAGGACTCCAGGCGATATGTGAGATGTAACTTTGTTGCTTGATCATGTCTTCGAAAATGTTAGGTTGTGGGAAGACCGTCTCCGAGGACAGTGCGAAAGACTCATGTGTTAGTACCTCAGCCCTCCAGTCCGGCTCAGCTCCCAGTGAGGACGTCGGTGTTTCAATCTTCAGAAACACGAGGTGGTTGTCATCATCAGAGACTACTAGCATGTGCTGGCCGTATACCAAGTGAGTACCGATAACACCAGGCGGTTCTAAGCAAGGCATAGCGGGTGCCCAGGCGAACGCTCGAATGCGGCCTCTTGACCGCAGTCGTTCCTTGGAATCGTGCACTACGTGGCTAGGTTCGTCGTCCCAGTCTCCGAAGTGGTCAACGAGTGCATCATTGATGATCAATCGTCGGGCCCAACTTGTCTCATCCTCTGGCTTGCCTTCTGCTGCTGACCAGAGGGAAAGCGTCAGGTTTGCGGTAAGAGCAGCAAGCGCGCATTTTCGATGTTTAGCAATGCCGGGTGGCGACCACGCGATGCTGATGGGAGCGCTGTTAGAGATCTCTTCGCCGACGGAGTAGTTAGATGTTGGCGCAGGTTCTTTGAGTGGGAGCTCATCGGTCGAGAACAAGGGTACTTTGAGAGGCACATGCTGCCATTGCGGCAAGACTTGGTCCCGTTCGAAGTCGACGGTGTTCGGAAACTACGCGACCATTAACAAAAAGGTCTCATGTAAGTATCTGCACCGAAAGGTACTCACAAGCAGCTCTACGCGCTCATCCGACGCTAATGCAATGATGCCGTCGGAAGACCAATCGATCGCATCGACGCAGGCTGGCCAGCATCTCAGCACTGTCACGTCCGCCATGATCGCGCATCAAGTCTCAGAATAAGTGGTCCCCGTTGTTTAGTGGTTCTGGTCATGGCTCACTGTGGTGAGGGAGAACGTGAAAAGCTTTCGACTAGCGCGAAAAGGCGAAAAGCCTTGACGTAGGAAGTGCAAAAGGTCTCGAATTGACGAATTTTGCATACAGTGACCAAAACCTTCACATAGCACTTCGTGGACGCGCAGGGACGAGAGAAGCATCGAACACGCGAGATTTGCTGGTGCAGGATCGCGTTGAGCGCTTTGGGACTAGCTCCGGACTTATCGATAGTGCTGAGACCGACCGCCGACGAAAAAGTGATTTTTCCGCCATCCTTCTCAACTTCTCCACACGAAGCATTGCCAACCAACAAGATGGGGAAAAGACCGATCTCTGACGTCGTCGCTGAAGACGGCGCGACCACCACGCCCGAACTTTCAAGAAAGAAGAGCAAGAAGGACAAGAGCAAGAAGCTCAGCAAGACCGCTGAAGTGGATGCGATCGAGACGAATGGCGATGCGCAGGCTGTAGAGAACTCGGATGACGAATCGAGTTTGTCTAAGGCCGAGCGCAAAGCGGCAAAGAAAGCAAAGAAGGCGGCTAAGGAAGCGAAAAAAGCGCTGAAGGCTGCCGCGGGTGCCGATACAGACGAGCCTGCGGAAGAGAACGAGGAAGCCATCAAGGCGGCAGAGAAGGCTGCGCGAAAGGCAGAGAAGAAGCGCGCGAAGGCATTGGCCAAGGGCGAAGCTACCGAGCCCGTACCCTCCTCCAAGCCTGCACCGGTCGAAACCACAACGAGCGCAGCCACCGTCGAATCGGGCGACTATGTAGAGAGCAAAGAGCTGACCCAGCTTCCCCAGTCGGAGGTCGATGCCTTCCTCGCCAAGAACACCATGGCTATCCAAGACCCCAAACCTGCCGCTCGCAAGCTCCGCCCCATCCTGAACTTCAAGTACCTCCCGGTCGACGATGCGCAACGCGCCTTCTTCGCCAAGTTCAGCGCCCCTACACCTATACAAGCAGCCGTCTGGCCATACTTGCTCTCAGGCAGAGACATGGTTGGTGTTGCCGAGACAGGTTCCGGCAAGACGCTCGCGTTTGGTGTACCATGTGTGCGCTATATCGCAGCGCTGCCCAAGAACGAGCGGAAGGGTGTCAAGGCTGTCATTGTCTCACCTACGCGTGAGCTGGCTGTTCAGATCTACGACCAGTTGGTAGCTTTGGCGACACCGGCTGGACTATCTGTAGTCTGTGTGTATGGTGGTGTGCCAAAAGACCCTCAGGTTGCCGCTTGCAAGAAAGCGCACATTGTGGTCGCTACACCCGGTCGTCTAAACGACCTGATTGGCGATGGCTCAGCAGATCTCAGCAAAGCCGAGTACGTAGTACTTGACGAAGCCGACCGCATGCTTGATAAGGGTTTCGAAGAAGCAATTCGGCAAATCATCTCGCAGACGCCCAAAAAGCGCCAGACCCTTATGTTCACTGCTACGTGGCCGCCTTCCGTCCGGGATCTTGCGTCCACCTTCATGAACTCGCCGGTCAGAATCACAATCGGCGACAACCAGTCTGGCGAGCTCCGCGCCAATGTGCGCATCAAGCAGCTCGTCGAGGTTGTCGATCCTCGCGGCAAAGAGCAGCGTCTGCTGCAGCTACTTAGACAGTATCAATCTGGCAAGAACAAGGACGATCGTATCCTCGTCTTCTGTCTGTACAAGAAGGAAGCAATGCGCATCGAGGATTTCATCCGCAGACAGGGCTTCCGCGTGGGTGGCATCCACGGCGACCTGAGCCAAGAAAGGCGCAGCGCCTCACTGGCGGCGTTCAAGGAAGGCCATGTGCCCCTTCTCGTGGCGACGGATGTTGCTGCACGAGGTCTTGACATTCCTGCGGTGAAACTCGTCATCAATGTCACGTTCCCTTTGACGGCGGAGGACTACGTTCACAGGATTGGTAGAACGGGTCGAGCCGGAAAGGAGGGTTTGGCGATCACGCTCTTCACGGAACACGACAAAGCACTCTCCGGATCGTGAGTACCCCTTGCGCTTGGCTACATGTTTTCAGTGTGCTAACTCTATTATTAGGTTGATCAACGTGCTTAAGGCAGCAAACCAGCCCGTACCCGAAGAGTTGATGAAGTTCGGTACAACTGTCAAGAAGAAGGAGCACGGTGCATACGGCGCCTTCTACAAAGACACCGGGGACTCCAAGGCAGCTACTAAGATTACTTTTGACTAAGTCGCATGAGTCTAGCTGCGTCTTGTCAAAAGCGGACTCGGCATCTCGTAACGAAGCTGGTCGGCGAAGGGGATGCCGCCGGCTACAGCTGCAGCGCGAAGATCGACTTGTAGAACTAGAAGCATTTGTCTAGCGGAGGCGTTTCGGATCATGCAAAGCAAAAGTCCCGGTAGTGTGCATTGTTGTAGATCGCGATGTGTTTAGTAATTACGAGTCTGCACAATATCTCATTCTTCGTAACGAATGTCCCATCTTATGCATGAGCTGAAGAGAATCCCCTGTCCTATAGCTTCCGGCTATACCGTGTCTGAACAATCGTACGATTTCCAAACCTGCGTATCCTCAGGTCCACACGAGAAGAAGGCTTCAGCCACCTCATCATACCGTATGCACTTGTTCCTAGCTACCATCGTGAATCTCAAATACGCATGTATCCACATGCGCCAACCGACCGCCATAACGACAACAACTCGCCTATCCAATGCACTACGCTTCCATTACCACCAAAAGCCCACACTGACCCTCCGCATGCCCACTCCACGGGGACACCCAAGCCCGGCACACCGACCCCAAAAACTCCTCTCCGATCCTCACCATGTACATGGCTCGGCAACGGACCCGTACTATAGGTTCTAACACACGCCGCTCCCGCAGACTAGACCCGCGTGTGCAGCGAAAAAAGCGTCTGGCGTCAAAGTGGTACTTCGCCGAATGTGGTCGCCGACTATAGTTCGGACAAATCACTAGACAGCCAATCAGATCCCCGCAATGAGATGCAGAGGCCCAGTCTTCTGGGGTGGGATTGGTGAACTAGAGCCCGAGGGGATTTATCATGCCTCACCGCAGTGAGGTAGTGTGTTCGCCGTGTGTAGGGGGGTTCGGCGAGGAGGGTATGTGGGATTGCGGAGGAAGGTAGGTGTATATAAGGGTCTCGGTGGGTTGCTGAGCGGACGGAGTGCATTCCAGATCTTTGTCAACCAAGATACGCATTTCGAGACTACTGTTATACCACGCTATACGCTACCGAACTCTACGAAAAGGTTTCGGCATACTTCCTCTTACGTTCGGCATACTTTCATCGGCACATCGTCGGCATCGCCACATATACTCGATATCCACTCCCATACAAACGTTCACAATGTGCAAGAAGGCTTCCTGCGACTCCTGCAGTAGGTCACCTACCACAGTTCTGTTGTACAAACACGGCTAACATCGCCTCAGACAAGACCACATGGTGGGGCTGTGGTAAACACGTCGCCGGCGTCATGGACAACACCCCCAAAGAGCAATGGTGCACATGCGCACCCCGAGTCGAACAACAAGGCACACAATATCCTCCCATGGGCTCACTATCTTCGGCATGACTACCGGCTTGGATGAGGGGCTCGAAGGCCTAGCGATGGGACGATACGGGATGAAGGGCTGCTTTCTTCGGAGTCTGGGAACATACGGAGTACTGGCGTGATGATTTACGATACGAACGACGCATGGATACGATTTCTGATAGCGTTAGCGATGCGCAATACATACCCAATTTCACGTTTTCAAGACTGCTTTGTCGCTGGTGGTCATCATGCTGTAGTGCTGTGTAGATCGCCTTGTCTGGGCCTTGTGCCTGTCGCACATGTCAGCACAACCGTTCGAATGATCACCAGCACGTTTGTCAATGCGGGGATACAAGCTGCGCCTTGCACGACGAGGCCTTCATCGCGGCCTGACGGGACCTGACATCTTTGTCCGTCGCCCCTTCCAGAAGCGTGGTGTTGGGAGCTACGACATGCCACCACCAGCTTTGTAGCACGGTGACCAGAGTGACCACAACGGATAGTGAAAACATCTGGACCGTGATGATGACAGAAGCTGTCATCTTAGACCCTGAAGCGGGTAAGGTCAGGATTCAATCCTGTTAGTAAGGCTCGGCGGCCATTTGAAACAGCTTCTGGAAGTCTCAGATGCTTCGAAGTCAAACAGCTATGATGTCGACGGGTGCCGGGCCAGTGAGGCATCTCCCTTCCAATCGGACCCCAAGAAAATGCCGGCGCAGATGCGTGGCGCGTACAGCGCAATGATAAGACAGTTAAAAGTCTTGTGCTAGACCATTGGAAAGGTAAGAATAGGACGGTTGGAGGTGGTTGGAGGTGGTTGAGTTGGAGAGAAGGCGCGCGAACCAATGGGTTCGGAGAGGATGCACCCGCCATGGTGAGGCTGGTCTCATAATGGGTCTGCTAAGTATAGCCGTTGCAGATGTGGAACTAGGCCCCTGCAACTAGCCAGTTTCAGCCATGGCCCTACAGGATCCTCCGCCATGAGCTTCAGCGACGAGGTGAATGACAGGCAGCCACCCTGCAGCAAGAGGCGCATGTGGTGATGGAAAAGGCAGCGGCTGAGAACTGGCATTGGGCAGATGCGGGGAAAGCAGAAAAAGCAACTCCCCAGGACCCCGTTGGGATGTCCTGCACGCGGTCATGAAGTAGTGGTAGATCCTGCTAGCGAAACGATTCTCGAATGTTTGAGATGGCTCTCGTGCATATCGCAGTAATCACAGGATGTGACTCGCGCAGCTCACACAATGGCTGGATCACGTCGGCGGTTAGCCCAAAGTATCCATGAATGGCGGCGGCCGTCGCGGACACCAAACGGAGACTGCCACCTGGGGGAGGTATATCTGCAGTCCATAAGCGGTGCATGCTGCTGTTATTGTTAAAAAGTGAATCTCACGCGCATTCGTCTTTGCCGCTTCGTATTGTCGTGTATTGTATTGTCG